CCCTGCTCCGCAGGAAGCCTGCTTCTCCCTCTCCCACTCCCCCCGCTTGTGTTCCCTGTCTCTCTCTGTGTCTCTCTGTCAAATAAATAAATAAATAAATCTTTAAAAAAATAAAAAAGGGGCGCATGGGTGGCTCAGTCGGTTAGGCATCTGCCTTCGGCTTGGGACATGATCTCAGGATCCTGGGATCAGGCCCCGCATCGGGCTCCCTGCTCAGCAGAGAGTCGGCTTCTCCCTCTCCCTCTGCCCGCCCCCACTCATGCTCACACTCTCTCCTTCTCAAATGAATAAATAAAAAATCTTTTAAAACAATAAACAAAACAAAACAAAAACCACATTTCCAGAGTATTTTCAAGGTAGAAGAATAGAGCAAGAACACTCAAAAGCCTGGCAAATACCTAAATAAGTCTACACAACTATATATTCCACATACTTTGTTACCAGCAAAATGCCACTAGACAAGGACACTCAGACACCAACACATTACACTAATGTAATGTATTCCAATGTATGCGCATAAATTTAAATATAAATACTGCTTTACTGTTAATATCCCCCCTTTCCTAATAATATGAAGATGGTGCTAGAAGGGCAATGGTTCTATTACTTACAGTTCAGCAACTTCCTGTTCCTCCTCCCAGGCCTCCTTGTGTGTTAGTTGACTGCTTCCAGTACTCTTACATGTCCAAATGCGCTCACTGTACCTTTCCAGGCGGGCCTCGTACTCTCTGTTAGCCATGGCTCAGGAAAACAATATTCAAGCAACAGAGACAACTTATCCATATCCATAAAATACTTCATAACATAAAAAAAAAAAAACTAAAGCATCCTTTCTATAATTGTACAGCATAAAAAGCTAAAATTGAAATTAGAGTTTTCAAGTGGCAAATCCAAATAAAATGATTAAAGCTAAAGAATGACTTAAATGGTTTGTCATATTTTTGTTTTAACAGATAAAATACTAGTATTTTAGGGGCACCTGGATGGCTCAGTCGGTGGAGCATGCAACTCCTGACCTTGGGGTTGTTGGTTTGAGCCCCACACCAGGTGCAGAAATTACTTTAAAATAAAATTTTTTTTAAAGATTTTATTTATTTGAATGAGAGAATGAGAGAGAGAGAGAGAGCGCACAAGAGGGGGGGAGTGGGAGAGGGAGAAGCAGACTCCCCGTCGAGCAGGGAGCCCAACACAGGACTCGATCCCGGGACTCCAGGATCATGACCTGAGCCGAAGGCAGTCACTCAACCAACTGAGCCACCCAGGCGCCCTAAAATAAAATTTTTTTTAATTAATATTTTGTTATAAATGTGATTTCTTCAAATCACCTGTTTCATGTCAAGAAAATTCCCACGGCACTGGAAATTTATAAGAAAAAATAAAGGTAAATTAAACACAAATCATAAGGGATAAGAATTTAAGGTATGTGGAATTGTCACAGAACTCAGATGGTCAGCAAGCTTAAGAATCTGCTCCATGGAAAGATGAACTACCCCAGTCTCATAGGCAGTTTGGAATAACCCTGTGCATATGCTAATGATCCATTTCCTAGAAAGCCTTCCAGTCTATCTCGGAAACACCTGTTGATCCTTAGAGTTTAAAAAATAAATTCCATAAAGCCCTAAAAATAATTTTGATACCATATTTACCCAAGCTTTATGTTGTCTCCAATAATACTACACTCACAAGTCATTTACCACTGTTCAATCCTTGTAAGGCAGATGAAGGAAGAGAACATCCTATTAGTGCCATATAAATGGTAACTTTCCACACCATCTCAACTAGAATTCACTACCAGACAGCCACATTCAAATTCAAATGACAACTAATTTACTTTACGCACAGCAACAGATGCTACCCGAGAAAATAAACTGACACAACTAGAGAATTAGCTGCCAATCTCTGTACTTTCCAAGTGACACTTTTTATAGTAGTTGAAATAGAAGTATTTAAACAGCTCATCCATAATATTACCTTACAATTAAACAAGTAATTCATTTTTAATATATGGAGATTCTTTGTTTTCCTGGGTTAATAATCAGTGAAAAGACAGACGACAGGGACAAATCCAGAGGTAATCCAAAAAGAGTAGTTTTAGCCAACAGTGTAAGCGCCTTCCCTTACTGTATCTTTCTCAGGATCTGCCAAACACAAAACAGTAAATCTTTTTTCCTGGGGTGGCAGGGGGAATGGTGCTAATATATTTAAATGACTAAACAAAAAAGAAGTACCAGCAAAAACCAGGAGGCAAGCTTCCATATAAAACTACGTAAATTCTGGGGGGCGCCTGGGTGGCTCAGTCGTTAGGCGTCTGCCTTCGGCTCAGGTCATGATCCCAGGGTCCTGGGATCGAGCCCCGCATCGGGCTCCCTGCTCAACGGGAAGCCTGCTTTTCCCGCTCCCCCTGCTTGTGTTCCCTCTCTCGCTGTGTCTCTCTCTGTCAAATAAATAAATAAAATCTTAAAAAAAAAAAAAAAACTATGTAAATTCAATCTCACTGAAAATTTATAAAAACTTACAGAGAAAAGGAAACAGCATGGCTTCCAAAGTGACATTACCATAACTAATCAACAAGATAAATTTGTTTTCTGGTTTTATCTGTTTGCACTGGGGAAGGAGAGGTAAAATAATGACAGAAAGAATCAGTAAATAGATTTAAACATTCAAAAAGCTTGATAACATTCTAACACAGTATTTACTTACATTGAAGAAATTCACTGTGTAATCAGAGAGAATGTGAGATAAACAAACATGTCCTAAAGAAAGAATTTTAGTTTTTGTTATTAGCTGCTATTTTTAAAAGTAGGAATGATGTGCCCAGTCATCCTCCTGTGATCTAGACCTACAGGGCCAGCTGGTATCACCTGGATGCCTCAATGATACCTCCAGTCCAACTTTTTCTAAACTAAACTCTTATTACCTCTTCCCTCCCTCCTAAGCTTGCTCCTTAACAGTTATTCCCAATGCCACTGAAAGGCCCTAGTGTCCCAGTCAGAAACCAGGGAATCATCCTCAGCTCTTCAGTCCCGAATTGCAATCACATATCTATGGCTCAGTTCAGTCCTTCCTCTTCCACAACAGAGCCATTATTCAAATTCAGCCTCTGATCCTCACTTCTCAGCTAGCCAAAATATTTTAAAACATTTCAATTGGCCTCACTGGTAATCCTCTGATCTTTTATGCTTCTCACCCAAACATCCTTCTTCTCAATCTTACTTGTTTTTAAACCCAGTTCTTCTTCTTACTTTAAAATCTCATTTGCTCTCAGGCCCCTGAAATGCAAATATGTTCACACTGGGAAGCAATCCTCTGGCTCCCACAGTACTGAAAATCACTCCACCAATCAAGACTTTGTTGAGCAAGTTCCATGATTTTTATTCTTTTAAGAAGAAAAAAGGGAGGGCGCCTGGGTGGCTCAGTTGGTTAAGCGACTGCCTTTGGCTCAGGTCATAATCCTGGAGTCTCAGGATTGAGTCCCGCATCTGGCTCCCTGCTCAGCAGGGAGTCTGCTTCTCCCTCTGACCTCACCCCTCTCATGTGCTCTCTCTCTCTCTCAAATAAATAAAATCTTTAAAAAAAAAAAAAGAAGAAGAAAAAAGGGAGAAACTTTATTTTCCTCAAACAATACATATTTATTTATTTTTATTTTTTTTATTTTTTAAGATTTTATTTATTCATTTGAGAGAGAGAATGGGAGAGAGAGCATGAGAGGGGGGAGGGTCAGAGGGAGAAGCAGGCTCCCCGCCGAGCAGGGAGCCCGATGTGGGACTCGATCCCGGGACGCCGGGATCATGACCTGAGCCGAAGGCAGTCGCTTAACCAACTGAGCCACCCAGGCGCCCAAACAATACATATTTAAATATCAAATATTTTTTACTGATTATGCCTTTTTGCAAACAATAAAAGTCTCTCCTACTCTGATACATATCTTTCTCACCCTCCTTTGAAAAATCACTATCAGTCCAGCATTCTCATTCAGGGTGACCGCATCAATTCCCATAACTTCAATGACTATCTATATGCTAGTAATTTCTAGTAATTTCTATCACCAGCTCAGTCTCCTCTCTGAACTCCAGGCCCCTGTAATACACTAGCAATACAGACACTTCCATTTGGATATCCAAAGCAACTCAATAGAAGAACATCCAAACTAAACACTCACTTCCTACCCTCCCCACCCATTCCCAGTCAAAACAAAAACACTAGATCCTCTTCCAGCATTCTCTATTATCTGAGAATGACCCACTAACCAAATGACAACCAAAACATTATCCTTGATTCCTTGCCAATCACCAAATCCCGTCAAATCTACCTAATTTATTTTGAAATCTATATACTTCTCTCCTCAAGGGCTAGTAAATTTGTTCAGCCCCCATACCTGTTGCCTAGTTTACTTAATAATGGCCTCACTAGTTTAGCTGCCACTAGTCTCTAGGCTGCAGATCCATTCTCAACACTGCAGCCACAGTGAGCTTCCCAAGAACCTGCTTCTATCCTGTTCAAATCTGTAAACAGCCTCCCATAAACTCAAGGTAAAGTCCAAACTTCTCAACCTATCTCCCAAGGACCTATGTGGTCCAGCCCCACTAAGCAGCTCAATCTCCATTCCCACTTCTTTACTCCAGCTATAGAAAACTTCTTTCAAGTTTTAAAATCTGGGGCGCCTCGGTGGCTCAGTTGATTAAGCAACTGCCTTCTGCTCAGGTCATGATCCTGGAGTCCCGGGATCGAGTCCTGGATTGAATCCTGCATCAGGCTCCCTGCTCAGCAGGGAGTCTGCTTCTCGCTGACTCCCCTCCTTCTCATGCTCTCTGTCTCTCATTCTCTCTCTCTCAAATAAATAAATAAAATCTTTAAAAAAAATTTTTTTTTTTTTTTAAGTTTTAAAATCCAAGAAGCTGGGGCACCTGGGTGGTCAGTCATTGGGCGTCTGCCTTCGGCTCAGGTCGTGATCCCGGGGTACTGGGATGGAGCCCTACCCAGGCATCCTTTTTTTAAAAAAAAAGATTTTATTGGGACGCCTGGGTGGCTCAGTTGGTTAACCGTCTGCCTTCAGCTCAGGTCATGATCCCAGGGTCCTGGTATCTAGGCCCACATCGGGCTCCTTGCTCAGCGGGGAGCCTGCTTCTCCCTCTGCCTCTGCAGCTCCCCCTGCTTGTGCTCTCGCTCTATCTCTAACAAACATATAAATAAAATCTTTATTAAAAAAAAGATTTTATTTATTTGGCACATTATATGTCTATTAGACAGGACTATCTACCTAATAAGGTTTACATCTAGGAATGAATGAATGCCCTCTAACAATACATGACAACTTTAACGGACTAGTCATGGGGGCGCCTGGGTGGCTCAATCGTTAATTGTCTGCCTTTGGCTCAGGTCGTGATCCCAGGGTCCTGGGATCGAGTCCCACATCGGGCTCCCTGCTCCGCGGGAAGCCTGCTTCTCCCTCTCCCACTCCCCCTGCTTGTGTTCCTGCTCTCACTATGTCTCTCTCTGTCAAATAAATAAATAAAATCTTAAAAAAAAAAAAGAGTCTGCCTTTGGCTCAGGTCATGATCCCAGGGTCCTGGGATCGAGCCCCGCATCGGGCTCCCTGCTCAGCAGGAGGCCTGCTTTGCTTCTCCCTCTCCCACTCCCCCTGCTTGTGTTCCCTCTCTCGCTGTGTCTCTCTCTCTCAAATAAATAAATGAAATCTTAAAAAGAAAAAAAACCTGACTAGTCACCTAAGATTAATCTCAAAAATTCAAAACTAAAATTCCTACAACCCCAACATTGGGTATTTTTAAATTTATGTAACTCTGTTCTTGTTATTACTTTGACTTATGTTAAGAGAAAGAGCGAAAAGAGTCAAAATCAAGAAAAAAAAAAGCCTATTACAAGGATATTTGGTCAGCTGCCTCCAAATCCTATTTCAGATTTTAGGTTACCAAAATAAGTCACTTACACTCAAATAACTACTCAGAGCAAATGCCAACTGAGGTTTTTATGTTCCAGCCACTGTTGCACATATAATTGCAGACAAAATGTCAAAGCAATTCTCCAAAGACTGTGTAAGTTATAAATGACAAGATATTCTCAAATCCTATATATCTCACTACCATCTACTTTTTTGTGATTTCAAGAGCTACCTCCTTACCACAATATGCTGTTTCTTTGTTCTCTTTAGCCTTGTAAGGATTGTTTCTTTCAATAAAGTACTTGATAGCCTGAAAGGAAGTGGCCCAGAAAAGTATGGAGGTTAAATAAGAATAACTATAACCCTAAGAGTTCTACGTGAAATGACAAAGCACCAACTCAAGATTTGCTTTTTATTCTCTTTTCTGTCTTTGGAACAGTCTGTCATCAAGTTAAAAGCAATTCTCATTTAGTGTAACTTCTTTAAAGAAATTACATTATAAAAATCAACATAAGAACTCACTATTCCAATGTCCAATAAAATCCTGGCTTGCAACTACAATTTAAGTCCAACTCTTAAAACATGCTCTAGTCACTCTTGCCTAGTGCCAGATTAACTGAGTTCTAACAGCCCCTCCTCATCACACTATTTAAAAGCTCTCATATATCGAGGCTACAAAGGTTATGAAATACTTGTTTCTATGCTTTACAGAGAAGGACAGTTAAAGCAATACAACAAAAACATTAGCCCACAGCAGGTTGCTTGTAGCTTCAGTTCCTCCTCAAAACCCATCTTGACTTGGCCACTGTGATTATCCTATTGCCAGATAATCACATCAAGAATTGATTCTGATCAAGTTAATCTTTCCAAGGAAGATCTAATGTACTGCATTAGTACTAACCTAGGAAGTAATGTACCATAGATTCAAAGCTATAATACAATAACCATAATCATCAATATATAGAACACGGTCATTAAAGGTGTGCATCATTCCCAACTACCACTATAAGTTTAATGAGGAGGTACGATAATGCCTTCAAGAACATACCAACACTCACAGCTTTAAGTTAATAAAATATCTCACTGATGTGCTATTGCATATACATGCAATCAAAAGGCAGATGTTAGAAAATTCAAGTATCAAATTCTATTAAAAACAGAATTGTAAATGTAAATTAAGAAGCGGAAACAACATACTTCAAATGCAGCTGTTAACCAACCACATACTTGTTCTCTACGAAAACACTAAGAGCCTAATAAATACGCCAACCTGCCAACCACACAGTACAATTGTTTAAAACCATCCTCGAAGTGCTTCCACTTGTAGAAATTCCCAAGGAAGCAATTTCCCCCTCAATGTGCAACGCAATTTAAGAACTCCTTTGTTAAAAAGCGTTCTAAATACCAGTATAGGAAATTTTTTAAATGAATTTTTTAAAAATACCTAACACTTAAAAAGTTTCAGGTTTCAATTTTCAACTGTCATCATTAACAGAATCTCTTCATATAGATCATTACATTTCAATGATTTCAGTAAATGATACAAAAAGGCCTGGGCTGCCAGTTCTAAATTAACTATATACAGCCATTTTTTACATGGCTCAATACCTATCACAGACTTTGCGCTTGTCTCTATTGGGTGTTTCTTATACCACATTAGAACCAGACGTGAAAAATAAACATCTGATAATATTAGTGAGTACCCATCAAGTGCTCAAAAAATGGTATTTAAATAATATATGAAAAGGATATGGCAGATCCCCACAGTAAATTTTTTACCCCACCGATGTTTTTAAATATCTCAAAAAATAAAAATAAAAAAGTAGGACTCCGTTCGAATAATGCTGTATTCAGTGTAGCTGGAGTACTTCTCCAAAGCTTTCCAGAATTCCTAACAGGACAAGAAAAAGAACCAGATTACCACCTGAACCCCTCCCTGAAATGCACCTTACCTCACACCACAAACTGACATCGAAGTTGCCTTCTTTTCTGGATTTACTTACAGGGATAAGTTAGAAAAGTACTGCATTCTACCCCTGACTTTCACCATTTCAGTGTTTGACCTTTAACAAGTCAACCTCAACCCTCTCGGCCCACTTGGTAAAGGAGGCAGCAGAACCTGACCATCCCCAAGATCCATTTCAGCTACAAGATGCTACAGCTATAATTCTCCAAGAGCCTTCCTATGGCACAGGCTCATTTTCCAGGTCCTTTTGTATGTAAACACCCAACTCCACAAACTGCATCAGAACAAGCATTAGGTTATCTTGCAAAAGATTGTATTAAAGAGAGGATCAAAGAGAAATGAAATCAAATGACATCGCTCACCTGGGCACTTCCTCCCATACGGAAGCAAGCAAGCAAAGAGAAACTAAGAAATCCAGTCCTTCCAAAGGAAAAGGGCTGATGAAACTCAGTAATATAGTGGCCTTCAGTCTTGAAGCTTTCCATACACTAAAGAAAGCGTGATTCAGAAATCTACTTCTTTTTTACAATGAAGCTTCAAAAAGGACTCATCTGGCATCCATAAAAGAGAAAAGTAAATAAGTCATACAACTAAAAGACTCTGAGCTTGTGCAAGGAACCTTCAACGATTAGAAAAGAGAACGCGTCTTCTTTAAAACATCAGTCTCCTGTTCCTAAGATACAACATAAAAACTTTAAGTATACCTTCGTATTTTTTAAATGTTTATTTAAAAACAAATACCGATCTCCTTCTAAATCGTCAGCATTTCAAACCTGTGCGTGCCGGGGAAGGCAGGCATCAGCTCCTCCAAGGTAACTTTTTCTTCCCCTTCCCCTACGTCTGGAAATTCGTTCTTGGTTACGTGCCTCACAATCTTGTCAGTTCATCACCGGCCTCAAGTCTCCACTCCGGAGGAGAAAAACACAAGAGCCCCCGCGGAGATCCGGGGAAAACGCACAAAAAATCTTGCACAAGCCGGATCACGAGGCCGCGTGGGTACAATTTCAAAAACTTAAGTTGAAGGCTTAATTTAAGAAGAAAGAAAAAGCAGCAAAGAGAAAGCCCTCTCCCGTCCGTACTCCAGGCCTAAAGCCACCGCGGGGCAGGGGGGGCCGCTCCTCGAAAGCGAGGCCCGGGGACAAAGTGCGGAGCCGGGGAAAGGATGGAGAGCGCGGGGCTCCGGGCCGGCCCGCGCCCCCACCCCGCGGAACGGCGGGCTCGAGCTCCGGCTCGAGATGCAGGCCCGCCGGCGGCCGGCGCGCTGACAGCTGCCACAGGCGCCGGCTGCGCGGCCCTCCCGGCCCCGACGAGCCCCCCGGCCCACCCCGCCCCACCCCGCGGGCGGCCTGGCGGCCAGGCTGGAAAGGATACTCCCGGGTGCGGAAGGCCTCCTGAGTGTGCGCGATGGTGAAGAGCGGCTCCTCGCCGGGAAGCGGCTTTACCAGCGGGAAGGGCTTGCGGCCCAGCAGCGGCGCCATCGCGGAGGTGGCAGCGGCCCGGAAGGTGGCGGCTCCTCGGAGAGCCCGCGGCGCAACACTAGGCCCCGCGGCCCGGAGCGAGCGCCTGGCTCCCGGGGGTGGGGTGGGGGAGGGGAGGGGTGAGAGGGCGGCGCGAAGTCGGCTCCCTCAGTGCTGGCGCGGCCGCGCGAGGGCCATGCAACGGGACGCAAGGACACGGAACTCCCACGCACACCGCCGCGCCGCCCGGCAGCCTCCGGCCCAACCTTCGCTACGGGTCCCCGCGTTCGGCAGTCACGACTCCTCCTTAGCTGCACCGGAGGAAATTATTGAAAAATGGCGGGAGATTCCCCTCCTCCCCCCCGCCCGGCCAGCGCACACACTAACTTGCTCCCCTGTGGCGCCGGTGGCGAATGCGCCAATAGGCGGAGAGCTCATCAGCGCTCACAGTCTATTGGCTCAGGGGAGCTGCCGCTCTGCGCTTGGGTCCCACCCCCTTTCCCGGCCGCGTAGTTGGGTTGCAGCGCACTAGAGGGCAGTATGAAGAGGTGAAAGGTCACGTTATGTAAGCGCTGGTGACAGGCCTGCGGGCCTCCAGCAGCGGAGTTGAAAATGGGGGACAGCGGGGGACCGAAAGGCCTGGAATTCAAAGAGGTCAGGCCAGAGAAGCCCCTTAACATATACAGACACTGCGCCATCTGTCACCGACGGCGACACCGACATCCGGGCACCACTGTCCGTGTGGTGCGCCGGAGGGGGAGGGGGAGCGCGCGGCCAGGGGCTTTGTCTTTCCACTTGTGCTCCGCCCCCTCCTTAAAGGCGCCGCGCTCGGCCACGCCCGGGGATGCGCGGGTGGGGCAGAAGGGGGGAGGGGTTGGCGGGAAGAAACCCAAGACCTTATCCACGCGGAGGTTCTACTGAAGGACAGCTGGAGCCTCAGCATTGCTCACCCCAAAGTTAACTTCTTCTGGAAGAGAGTGTGGTTGAGACCTGGATGTTAGTATGATGCTTGTTTTTAGGCGCTTGATGGAAAAGATAATAGAGAAGCTTCTTTGGAAAAATATATTAAATGGCGTACCTATTAAAGATACATCCATTAATTCAGGTAGCCTTACTAGCACCTCCAGTGTTCAGGGCCCGTACTGGGAGCTAAGGAGGGAAAAAATACAAGAGCCTGCCCTGAAAAAAATAAGGCCCAAGTAAGGACAGTCCTGTGATGAGTGCTGTACCAAGTGCACAGTAGGAAGACACCACTAACGGCCTGGAGAGTGAGGACATTCCAGCTACTTCTCCAAGCAGACTACACCCACATAGTCCGCAATGTGTTTGGCTATCGAGTACAACCCGAAACACACTCATTCATAATTCTCTCCCTATTAAATCGTCTCCCTCGGTCCAAAGATCTTCACTGACCTCAGAACATAGCTTCCCAGCCTGTTCTTAGGGGTTAGACTGCGAGGTGTCCCTGAAAGCCATGGCGCATGCCAATGCCAGGCCCTTTTCTTCTTTTCTTCTCATCTTGAGGTGAGAAGTATCCCCCCTGAGTAAGACGTAAGTTCTTTCACTACGGAGCCTCCCCTGATCCCCTAGCAGAGATGGGAGGGCATCCTCCTTCAGTAGCCATTTCTTCTAGGAGGGTTAAGAGCAACCTCAGGACAGGGCACTTGAGTTGATTGTGAAAAGGTAAGTAGCACTTCACTAGGCAGAGAAATGACAGACGAACGTTCTAGTAAGAAGGAACAGCAGGGCCGACTTGGTAAATTCAAGACAACATACCTAAAACTTCGGGGGTGTTGAGGTGGAAAGTATCAAGAGATGAGTGGCAAAGGAAGGGATCATCCTGGTCACAGCATGTGATGCTTGGAGTGACCACTTAGAAGGAACTGTAGTAGTTTGTGGCAGGGATACCAAGGGACCCAAATGTAATAAGATCAAGGGAGACAGATTTGAGAGGCACAGATTAGGTGACTAATGGGATGGACATTTGCAGGACCAGGTACCTAACAGCAGACTACACACAGAGTAAGGACTCCAAAAACATTAAGAAACACATTTTGGAAATATTTGATATTTCAAAGAAAGCTAATTGTACATGAGAATAGGGACCATAATCATTTCAGCGCTTGGGGCCGCTGCAGGTTAGAACCCAGCCCCAGTATTGCTAAAGCAGAGATCTAAAATTGGAGAACTGGGGGTACCAACTGGCTCAGTTGGTAGAGCATGCGACTCTTGATCTCGGGGTCATAAGTTCAAGCCCCACATTGGGCCTAGAGCTTATTTAAAAATAATAATAATAATAAATTTAAAAAGAAAGAAGAAAGTGTAACAGACTAAGTTTACATAACTATCAGTTTCCTGCTCTAATATTTTTGTTGACTCCAGTTGCAGACAAAACTCTTCCAAGTTTACTCTTCCTGTTCAGTCTTCAAGCTCTTGACCCAGCAAGCCCCAAGTGGACTACTTCCTTCTAATTCCCAGAATTCCTTAGCTTTATTCCTACCCACTGTCGGAAATGTACTTTTTTCTCCTCTGGGCATCTAAATCCCACACTTCCTTCCTAATGCCTTTTCCGGATTGTTCCAACCCACATCCGCTTTCACTAAACTCTCGAGGTTTTTTTTAATCATAACTGTAGCAAAATTTGTTGTTCAGTGTGTTTTCTTTCCCAACATTTGAATAAACAAGTTAATAAAAAAGGGCCGAGATTAAAATGTGTAGTTTCCAGGTATCTGCACCAAAGCTTCTATTGCTCCAAGTCAGCTATGGGTGCTTAGCTGCAGTAATAAGACTGTCTGGAGGAGCATAGCACATTTCCCTATGCGGATCTTCACTGGGTAGTTTTAGGACATGAGCTCAGTCAGCAAGATCTGTTTCTGTGGTCTGTGTCATGTGGAGCTGTGCCCTGCCACATACCCCTCCTTCATTGATGCAGACACAAACCCTTGCTCAGACAGTTCCAGCTAGTCTTTTCCTCCCTGTCCTGTTGGATCTTCAAACTCAAAATATCCCAAACCCACAGTCTCACCATCTTCCTTCCCTCCATCATCTGCTTTATCTGGATGGTTTTCATTTCTATTAGTGCCCCACTCACAACGTCACAGGCTCAGGCTTGACCTCTCTTGAGCTCCACAGCCACGGGGTCAACCAGATAATGGCAATTCTACCTGCCTGAAATCTATCACTTTCCTGCCATCCCCATGACATCCTACTTCAGGCCTTTATTTTTTCTGGCCAAAACTACTACTATAATGACTTTCTTCCTTTAAAATGTTTTAAACTACATCAAAATTATATCTTTATGGTGGTAAAATGAACGTAGTTCCCAAAAGGAAACATGTAAGTGTACTTTAAACAACAACAAATAGTTAGTTCTACAAAAAGCAGCTGTGGGGCACTCTCCCCCATGCACTTCCGGCTCCCGTAAGCACCCATTTTCAAATTGTTAAACTGTGTTAAAATTAGTAAATTTCACTTAAAATGGAATCAGGAGGCCAGAAGGGGAGCTCTCACAACTTATGACTGGTAAACTGCACACCCAACAGGAAGAAGCCCCTACTTTACTACCCCAGCAACAGGAAGAAAGCTTTCCTCCTCCCCCAGTAACAGCCCAGCCAATGAGAGAGTCAGCACTCAGCCAATGAGAAGCCACTACACTTCCAACTCCCAGTTTCCACCAATGGACTTGTTGTTTATAACAGCCTTCCCAACTTCTCTCTTTTCTCTATAAAGGTTTCCTCTGCTTTGTTCTGTAGACATGCCTATGGTGTTGCTGTAACCTGTGTATTCTGAATCGCAATTTTCTATTCCTGAATAAACCCATTTTTGCTGGTAAAATAAAGAACAGTTTTATTTTTAAGGTTAACAGCTATTTCCGCTAATATTTCCTTCCATATTTTTTTGTTTTTCTTTTTTTATTATGTTATGTTAATCACCATACATCATTAGTTTTTGATGTAGTGTTCCATATTTCATTGTTTGCGTATAACACCCAGTGCTCCATGCAGAACGTGCCCTCTTTAATATTTACTTCCATATTTCTAAACATGAATGTTGCTATTTTTTAGCTTCTCAGTTTTAGTATTAGCTGTTGACTTTTCTTGAATGGAAGTTGAGGACTTAACCCCTCTTACATCCCCCACAAACACCACACACACAATCATATTCCCAAAATAAATATTGCAATTCGTTAAATCATTATTCACTGTATAACTTATGATTATGTATTATTCAGATGATCCACGTGGTGGTCTGATCACATTTCCTTTCTTCTTTTGTCTTTGCTGGTTTGCTTCAGGCTTTCAGTTCATTTTCTATGTACGTATCACCACTATCCCTAAACTGACAGAATTATAGTTTCCTCTCAATACGTGCAAACTTTTCGTGTTCCAGTATGTCCCCCACCTGCTCTTTCCTCTCCATGGCATTTTGCACACTACAATCACCCCCCTGCTCTCGGCTTTCAATGGTTGGCTCTCTAAAGCCAACAGAGTAAAACCAAACTCTTTGGCCTAGACTTCAAGGCCCTCCGGGATCTGTCCTCAGTCTTAACTTCCCTTGAACCCCCTACTCCAGTAAACTAGGTTTATCCAGGTTTCTAACCAACTGAGCCACCCAGGCGCCCAGGTTTATCTAGGTTTCTAAATACATTCTCCACTAAAAAGATCCAGGGTTCCTGGGAAAAAGGACTGGGGCTGGCAAAGTTCAAAGTGAGTCAGGAATATTGTGCCTGAAAGTAAGGAGGTGCTCAAATAGTGATGGGGACATGTCAAAAGGACACAGGAGCCAGCAGGAAGGGATTCTAACTGGCTGAATCTAGGACAATTTGAACATTTAAAAAAATGACAGCAACAGATTGTTAACACATTGAATGTAAAGGGAAACCATGAGCCTGTAGTAATATTCAGAGAGAAAGGAAGGGAGGGAGGGAGGGAGGGAGGGAGGGAGGGAGGGAGAAAGAGAAGTGGAGAGAAGGGAAATCTGTTATCTACAGAAGGCTGCCAATGAATGAATGTACAAAGATTTAGAAAACTCATCATTTTTGCAAACTCCAGTGAAGTAACTGATTCAGAAATAGATCATCAATGGATACTAAAAATCACTGGTCTAAGTGAATGGTCTAAGATTATCAGCCCCCAACAGATTATTTATGTAAAAGCGCCCTGAAGGTGGGAAGGTCTGGCAGACACCTTAGCCAAATGATCTCGGCATTACCAAAAATGAGACAAGGCAACAACGTTTCTCTTGATACAGGCAATGAAAAATACGTATCACCTCTGTAGTATTCTAACCAAAAAACATTTCACCTGAAATCCTTAGAAAATAGATAAATCCAGTTTGTGGGACATTCTACAAATAATTGCCTAGACCCTTCAAAAATATCAATGACACGAGAGACACCAAGCTACCCACCTCCAAAAAAAGGTTCTAAAAGGAGACTAGGGGCGCCTGAGTGGCTCAGTCAGTTAAGCGTCCAACTCTTGGTTTTGGCTCAGGTCATGATCTCAGGGTCCTGGGATCGAGACCAGCATCTGGCTCCCCGCTCAGCATGGAATCTGCTTGTCCCTCTCCCTCTGTCCCTCCCCCTCCTCTTGCCCTCTAAAATAAATAAAATCTTTAAAAATAAATAAATAGGGGTGCCTGGGTGGCTCAGTTGGTTAAGCATCTGCCTTCGGCTCAGGTCATGATCTCAGGGTCCTGGGATCAAGCCCTGCATAGGGCTCCCTGCTCATCGGGGAGTCTGCTTCTCCCTCTCACTCTGCTGCTCCCTCTGCTTGTGCACTCACTCTATCAAATAAATAAATAAAATCTTTAAAATACATACATACATACATACATACATATATACATAAAGACTAAAGAGACATGAGAACTAGATGCAATGAATGGATTGGATCCTGGATCTGGGGACGGGGGCTAAAAGGAACTACTACTATTATTGGGACAGTTGGGGCAATTTAAATATGTTCATATTAAATACTATTATTGTATCATTGTTAAATTTCTTGGGTATGATGGTGATACTCTGGTCATGTTGAGGAATGTCCTTGTTCTTAGGACATACAGGCTCAAGTATTCAGGGCTAAAGTGTCAGAATGACAGCCACCTATTTTCAAGTAATTCACCCACCCACCCCCAAAAAAGAAAGAAAGAAACGTGTATTGAGATGCAAATGTGCCAAAAATTAGTAACTGGTGAATCTAGATGAAGGGTAGACATAGTTTATTGAACTATCTTTTTCAGCTCTCTCTAGTTTTGAAAAGTCTCAAAAAGTTGGAGAAAATAGAAACCCAATTCCCTGGTTACTCCCTACACATAACCCAGTGCTTCGCTGCCTCTATTTGTTTGCCCATGCTAACCTGCCCGGAGTGGTCTTTCCTCATAACCACAGAACATTTTCAAGGCCCAGCCTCGATTGCCACCTCTTCTGTAAGCCTTCTGTGATCTCAAAGCCTCCAAGTTTCTCTCTGGACCCTCACAGTCCTCTACCTTCTCTGCCCCCGGTGGCACATGCTCCTTCTCTACCTCGCCAGACTGTAAGCTCCTGAAAGGCAGACACCTGTCTACCAGTTGTACTTTATATACAGAGAACCCAGAATACACTTGCAACAAATATTTGTAAAATAAATGCCATTTTCCAAGACGACCAATAACTAAGGCATGGAAATCTGCTTCCGTGCCCTCAACTTTTCCATTCTCCAAGGTTCTGTGCAAAAGCCATTGAGCTCTGTTGATCTTCCTTTGTGCTTATTCATATTCAATGAATTTAGTTAGCGGGCTCATATCTATTTTTCTTAATAATTCAAATGTGCATATGCATTGGGCCTACTGATACCCAGAGGCAGTTTTCTGAATTATTTGTAACTTGCATGGCTTGATGCTTCCTCTTGTCTTTTTCTTCTCTAACCCTTACCCCATCAAGATTCTGGGATGCTGCTGGAGATGGTTAGCCTGGATTCTTAGAATATCAATGAGAAGTGGTGCTGAAGTGGCAGTCAACAAGAGAAGAGGATGGTTTCTACTACATCTTTTTCATCATCCCACATGCTCCTTCGTGGGCTCCACTCCAGCACTTCCCTACACTACACTACACTCTAGGAGGTTCTATGTAGAGGTCTACTCCCTTGCCAGCCTGTCTCCTGACGGACAGGATTCCTGGCCTCTGTGTAACGACTGCACAATATCGCGAATGTACTTAGTGCCACTGAGCTGTATACTTTTAAGTGGTTAAAATGGTAGATTTGGGGGCACCTGGGTGGCTCAGTCGGTTAAGCCTCTGCCTTCAACTCAGGTCATGATCTCAGGGTCCTGGGATCGAGTCCCACATCGGGCTCCTTGCTCAGTGGGGAGCCTGCTTCTCCCCTGCCTACAGCTCCCCCTGCTTGTGCACTCTCTGACAAATAAATAAAACAAAAAAAAATTATAAAATGGTAAATTTTATGTTATGTGCATTTTACCACAATATAAAAAAGTAAAAACATTCAAGAATGCCTCCCAAGGACCTGGATGCATGGCAAACACACATTGGCTGAATTCACTGTACACAGGGACAAAAATATAAATCAGACTACATGACAATTTCAAAGGGGGTCTCCAAATCATTTCTATCAGAAAATCCCTTTGTGGGAGTAAGACAATTGGCAGGCACTCAGTCCTTGCCCCCATGACCTTCAAGAAAGAAGCACTCAAATACCAACAAGACGTATTTCAAATAGTTTAATTTTAAAAATATGCTATTCAGTGCTAAAATATGTCTTCACTCACTGTTGCCCATTTCCATTTTCTTAAACTTTTTTGAACAAAAAATAAAATCACAAAGTTCAATTAAACATGCAGATTTCAAAGAAGAGGGAATTTTCTAGAAAGTCTGAGCTGAAGGAGTACTGTGGGGGGGTGGGTACTGCTGTCAGAACCTCAAATCCTTGCTGGGGCAGAGTCTGTGGCAGGAGGCAGGGGACCGTAGCAGGAGCAGGGGATGCTGGAATGAAATGTACAGGTGAGAACAGGGAAAGGCGTGTGGGTGTGTGTGTGTGGGTGTGTGGGTGTGTGTGTGTGTTGGGGGAAGAGGATGGTTATAGCAGGGGACAAAGGACTGTCAGCAGCTGGAGAGCCCATGAGAGGCACGATAACCTCAGGAATGGGCAGAAGTGCCAGGACAGCAGGAAACCTATCCAGACTTTTCTGCCCCCGTGTAGAGAAGAGCCCTTCCCTTCCCTCCAAAGTCTCTACCAGGCCTTCAACAGCAGCTCACAGGTCCCTAGCCGGATGGGAAAATTCATGAATCTACAGTCTCCATTCAAGTTCAAGTAACCTAGGCACTCTCTTCTCTAGAGGGTGCCTTCCACATCTCTTTCCTCCTGTAGAAGCGCCAGCAGCTCAGTCCAGAGGTTCTGGAGCAGAGACTGCTTGCTACCTGGAGGTGACAGATGAACCTCGGGATGGCTGATGCTCCAGCCTATTTAGGGTGCAAAAAAGACATGAGTGCTCCTCTTCTCAGGAGCAAGCAGACACAGGTGCCAGGGACGGGAAGATGATGCTACAACCCCAAGTCCTATGTCCAACCTTCCAGCCCAGGAGGCTCCTATGTGCGGGCTCTGGACCCCAGTGCTTGCCCTTACCCCAGCAACAAAGCACGGCCAGAACCAGAATGCAATAAATAGAGGCAAGGGGCCAGGAGGCGAAGGGTGCCAGGACGGTGCTAGCTTTCTGATGCTGTCTGCGGCACCGGGGGCTGGTCCACACAGAAGCGTTTCAGGGGTGGGGCACTGGAGTCTTCCTCTTCCTCAATAACCTAGGAGCAGTCAGAGCATGGAATTATAATAGGGCCACCCCTCTCTACTAGAACCTCCCACCCACCCTGATTACAGCCCAGAAGAAGCTTACATCTGCAATCTTCTTGCAGATAAACAAACTTCTTCCCCTACCTTATAACCTGGAGACACCAGCGTCCCTTGCTGCCTCCCCAACCTATATTCGATGCTATAAGGTCCAATTCATATCAACAGAGTCCTTTTTTTTTTTTAGAAACTGGAAAACCCAGAGTGGTTCCTTACCTGTGTCTCTAGTGGAACTGGTTCTTCCTTTGTGAGGGTGGGAGGTTCATCAGCAACTTCTGAGGCAGGCAAGGAGGGCTCTGAAAAAGCAGCAAGGTCAGGGGCGCCTGGGTGGCTCAGTCGGTTAAGCGTCCGACTCTTGATTTTGGCTCAGGTTATGACCTCAGGGTCGTGAGACTGAGCCCCACGTCAAGCTCCACGTGGAGCCTGCTTAAGATTCTCTGTGTCCCTCTCCCTCTCCTCGCCCCTCTAAAAAAAACCCCAAAAAAACAAAAAACAGCAAGATCAGTACAACTGCATAGCCTCCTGCCTCAAGCTGGGGGAGCTTCCCTAAGAGTTATGTGGTGGCTCGTTGGTGGAGGGCAACACTGGCTGGAGAGGCAATATATGTTATCAGAAAAAATGTGCAAGACACAATGCAAAGAGCATAATTTCTGAAGTCAGAAGGCATGAAACTGGAGACATCTGGTTCCACCAGTTACTAGCTGTGCGATCTTAGAGAAGCAATTTAACCTTTGTAAGACTCCACTTCCTCGTCTGTACAATGGAATAACACCTATTTCACAGGGTTTTTGAGAGAATTATACCAGGCATCGAATATGACAAGTGCTTTACACAGAGCCTGGCGCTCGATTATGTTGTTTTCTTCTTTCATTCTGTGAGAAGGGAAAATCAACCCTTCCCCAAAAAAGCCCAAACTGTTAACAGATGGTTCAAGCCTGTGAGGCCGGGGCACCTTCTCTAGCCTCTTCCTCTAAAGAAAAGAAACTTCAAGAGTACAGGCCCCTCCAAGCTGCTCGTCCTGGGTCGACGGTGACTCACCCTCGAGGATCTCCTGGCCCAGAGTAGGGGGCTGGGAGTCATCTGTGCGGAAGTCAGAGGTGTGTGCTGGGCTCAGGGACTCACTCTGCTGGGGGCTGGGGCTTGAGTTGGTGCTGCTGTCCACCTTGAGTTGATAGACATCGGATACAGAACTCTGGTTGCTATTTTCATCTGAAAACCAAACATGACAAAGGCAACAGCTGAGAGTAGTAATGTTTCTTGAGAGTAACTCGGTACAGAGCCAAGGGCCTGGTATCTCCTCAGGCAGCCATGGGCACAAACAAATGCAATGATCGCTGCTCAGATGCCCCCTGAGCCAAAGGCAAACAAACAAAGGTAGAGCAAATGATCAACAGTCTAAGTTGATTAAACATTTTCTATTTCACAACATATATTCTAAGCACCAGATGCAGCCAAAATCTTTCAGTTTATGCCACATTGATATTTCAGGAAGGTCAGGACAGGCCTGGTAACCCCTTCTGTACACCCACCAGTTATAACCGGACCTGGTATCTTCTCACTACCCAGGGGAACGGGGTGACGCAGCGGTGCCTCTCAGCCTCTCCCACAACACAGGCTGTGGAGAAAATGCTCAACTCTGCCCGGCCTTCCTGGCTATCTCAAGGAGGGTGGTGGTATCTGGAGGTGGCCACATAGGCCCTTCAGCGGCCCAGGCTCCACCTGCCCACCTCAAGGACCAAGAAATTCCCACCGGGGAAGGTCTGTCTGAAGGCTGCAAGTCACCACCTGAGTTAAACACTCAGGAAGGAGGCAAAACCTCCTTCCTCCCCCTGACCTGCGGCAGCCGGTCACCCAGTCTGATCAGCCTGACTACTCTGACATCTCTTCCTCTCCTGCCACCTGAGGGCAGGCCGCCTCCTCTCTGGCCTGGCCTCCTGCAACAGCCCCCCGACTGCACTTCCTTCAATCTCCTGTCCTCCCACCTGTACTTCACACCATCGCCGGAGTTATTCTAAATCCTTCCGGGGCTCTCTGCTGCCCAAAGGATATAATTCAAACTCCAGGGCTTCCCCGGGGCAGGCACAGATGGCCCTATCAGAACCTACAAAATCTTTCCTGATCTCCAGGCTCACTGCCACTGACCTCCCACACTCAAGCCTCGACTCCAGCCATGCGGACTCACTGAGGCCCCGCTTCACACACAGGTGTCCGGTAGGACTGCTCTTTCCAGTCTTCCTGGAAAGCTCCGATACAGACCACTACTCAGCTCAAGCATCACCTCCTCTGTGAGCCCCGGGTCCCAGGCTCCCTTGGGTGGAAATGACCAGCTTCTCTATTATGCTCCTGTTGTATCCTACGCACACCTACACTCATTATTTTACACACCAATTTCCTTCCATTACGCTCTGCAGGCAGGCTTTGTGGCTTACTTGCCCCAGGATTTCCAGTGCGGTACACGGTACCTGGCACACAGGAGTTCATGACATGTTCACTGAACAAAAAGGATGGGATGGTGGCCAGATTGAGGAAATGGGGCCTCATATGTCTCCCAGAGCTTTGTGATTATTGGACACCCCACACACAGCTAGAAAACTGTTCCCTTGTATTCCCCTTCTTCTATCATACTCGCTGACCTTGGGGGGGGGGCGCTGGGGGAGAGGTCGGGGGGGGATACCTGCACGCTCCCAGTCTTGTTCCCAAAGGAAAATCATAAGCCTTTTCTAGTTTTTACTCCTACAAAGACCAGGATCTTCTACGCTAAAACGGAAGCAGCATTTTACTATAAAAAGAATAAAGCTCTGTCACTATTGAGCTTAGGCAAACACTTCTTCTCTGAGCATCGGCTTCCTTCGATAGGGTTGATGATAACTGCCTGCTTTATGTCACAGGCAAAACAAGAAGCTCAAGTGCAAGCCCTTCTGAACAGCAGCTGCCACGCAGGTGTGAAGGGTTCTCTGGGACTGCAGTGCCAACACAGGCGGGACATTTACCGAAGACCAGTTGTTTCAGGAGGTGGAACTTGGCTAAAAGTGGACAGGAGAGGCCCTGGCTTTGGGCAGCCCACTCTAAGGCACTATCATCGTAAAACATACCATCTAAAGAAAAGAGCTTCTGATCCAGAAAGCCAGGACCTAACATGGGCTCTGTCACTTACTGGTTATGTACCTTGAGATACAGAACTTCAGCTCTCTAAGCCTCGGTTTCCCTAAATGGCAAATGAAGCTCCAATCATCTACCTTGCAGGGTTGCCGTGAGGTTTAGATGAAAAGCCGTGATGTAAAGTGCCAGCAAGATACCAGCAGAACAGCAAGCACTGAAGTGACACATGGAACTATTCTTTTCGTTATTAATGGGTTCATCTAAGTGCTGCTTTTCCTGCAAGGAAGACACATGGATGCAACTCACCCTGGAATTCAAGAAGAAGAGAGGAATTGGCTGAGGCATCAGAGGGAAAGCCATTAGGTTCCCGGGCTGCTGAACTGTTCGATTTTGACTTTTCTTTCTAGAAAAGGAAAAAAAGAGGAATATGACAGAGCCAAGCAGGAGACCCACAGAGAGGGAGAAGGGTACTATGTGAGACACCACAGAAGTCTGGATTAGGACTGAACAGGAACAACGACAACAGTGTGAGAATCCAGGACCCAAGGAATAACAGAATCCTGGACAAGGTGTCCCCAAGCCTCAGTGTCTCTTCTCTATCTTGTAAAATGGATCCTGCCGGCACTAATATCATGACTCAGAAGTGAGAGGCAGATACACAGGCTTCCACTAGAGCTCCCTGTGGTTCTCTTCTGCTTTCTGCCCTGAGCAGAATGCTCTATCCCACCCTTCCCTATGTGGATGGAAGAGAAATACAGAGTACTCATTTGAGAAGGATTCCTGTTTTGGTAGTACAGCAGGAAAAAGGGAAAACACGGGCCTCTGATTGGACCCAGGAAGGAGTCGCTTTATATGTAACGCAAGCAGTGACAGGACAAAGGGGCCCTGCTAGCCTGATTACTGACCAATCAAGCCATCCATTCAGAATGACCATCCCATGTCTACCTCTGCCTATAACATCATTTCCTTCAAGCAGGATGTAGGTTACACATGTGGGGAAACAGTGTGAAGGTAAGCACAAGCTTGTAAGAAACAAGCCCAAAGGAAAAGAAATAAATCCATCCAAACATTTCCAAATGAGAGCATCCCAACAGCCAAAAGTTTAAATCTGGGTAATCTCAAATTTACTAATTTATACTTTTTAAACACATCTATTTATTATACATGCATTTAACTTGTTAATAACTCTCAATCCTCTCTGCAACGAATCAACTGCACACATTCATGTACCGCTTTCTCTTCATTTGTTTCATACGCAGACATGATTTTAATGCAATTACACTTCACATTTAACCAAAGAAGCTACATAAACACAGTTTTTAAAAATTTGTTTATTTATTTAGAGAGAGCACACGCTTGAGCGGCGGCAGGGGGGCAGTGGGAGAGAGAGAGAGAATCCCAAACAGACTCCATGCTGAGCAGCAGAGCCCAATGTGGGGCTCGATCCTACAACACTGCGATCATGACCCGAGCTGAAATCAAGAGTTGGACACCCAACCGAGCCACCCAGGGGCCCCCAACCAAAAACTTTTAAATGTACACTGCACAGAGTTTGTGTCAATCTACTCTCTCGTCAGTGATGTCCCACTCCCTTGGATCCTTCCCACTTCTTCACCGATTTGATCATAATTTCCCATTTTCCTAATCTAGCAGGTCTATACTAGTACCTTAGAAGATGGCACTCTACCATGGACCACTGGAGGGCAGATAAACTGAGGGGCCTCAGCAAACACTATGAGAAGCCCTTGGGAGACACAAAGGGAGCTGGGTCCCGGGCAGGGAGAATTTCAATTAGGAAAGGGCCAGGAACTTACATGTGAGAAATGGGTTGGAGTGGAGAAAGGCTTTCTACCAGTGCCTCCCACTCCCCATTCACATGCCCAAGAGATTTAACTGCCTGACCTTTGGCCCTTGTGGATACTGGCACCACTAGAGCCAGGGCTAGATGAAAAATCAAGGGTGGCTCCAGAGCTGCCCCAACTTTCACCCACCAGCTCCCTGGGGCTGGCAATGACAAGGAAGGATGGTGGCTCCCAGATAAAGGTAGCACCTCAAGACTGGTACTAGGGAGTTCCCTGGGAGGGAGGCTAAGAAGGACTGGGGGCGAGGGAAAGGCTGAATCCTGAAGCTCACCCAATGACCTACATTCACTAAGAGGAAGGAAAACCACAGCCTGGGCTTACATCCTCCCTCAGTTACATACTGCTAGTCGAGGCAGCTCAGAGTCCCCAGGGAACAAAAAATGAGTGCACAGAAAAAACTAGCCAGACACTGGAAGAAACAAGCACCATTAAAGACAATAAATAGAACAAGCTGTACCAGAAGAAGGAGACTAAGAGGACACAAGAATTTAAATAAAACAGTAAGTCTCGGGGTACCTGGGTGGCTCAGTTGGTTGAGTGTCCGACTCTTGATTTCGGCTCAGGTCATGACCTCTGGGTGATGAGACTGAGCCCCCTCACTGGGCTTGGGGCTGAGCATGGAGCCTGTTTAGGATACTTTCTCTCCCTCTCTCCTTCTCCCCTCCCCCTCAACTGGTGTGTGGCACTCTCTCTTCCAAAAAAAAGAAGAAAAGAAAAAAAAATTTTTAAATAGTACGTCTCCTCAGAAAGATAAGGATACTGGAAAGTTGTTTTGAAGAACCACCAACTGAGGAAATTTGGTATGAATAATGTAATTGTTGAAAATAAAAATTAAGTGAATGAGTCTAGTAGGAGAAACAGATACAGCTGAAAATGAGCAAACACTGGGTTGAGAAATCAGAATACATGAGAAAAGAATGAAGAGATGAAACAAATGAGAAGAAAGGGAAAAACGAAGCTAGATATGAACATCACAGGATATTCTTACAGAAGTCCTAGGAGAGCAAAGACAGGGAAGAAATTCTAAGTTTCCAGGAATACAAGAGGACCACCTAGGAAGAATCAAGAATTAGACCAACACTAGATTGGTCAATAGCAACACCAGAAGCACAACAACTGAGTAATAGTTTCAAAATGCTGAAAGAAAACCCAGAATTTCAGACGTAGGTAAAATAATCAGTTAAACATAAAAAATGAAACAAGAATATTTTCAAGAGTAAAAAGACACTTTCAGAGAGTTTTCTCCACAAAAGCTCTCTTCGACAAAACTCTTGAAAGATACGTTACAAGAAGAAAAGAAATGAATCTAGGAGAAAGCAATAATAAATAGGTGCAAAGAGTATATAATCTGTAACATTTACTTTGTCTAACTAAGCATAAAATAAGAAACATCTGTAAAAACTGAAATATCTGGGGGCGCCTGGGTGGCTCAGTCGTTAAGCGTCTGCCTTCGGCTCAGGTCATGGTCCCAGGGTCCTGGGATCGAGCCCCGCATCGGGCTCCCTGCTCGGCGGGAAGCCTGCTTCTCCCTCTCCCACTCCCCCTGCTTGTGTTCCCTCTCTCACTGTGTCTCTCTCTGTCAAATAAATAAATAAAATCTTAAAAAAAAAAAAAAACTGAAATATCTGAATATCTGATCTGAAATTCCAGTCAAAACTAAGGACAGGTTAGGGATGGAAGTGGGGGAGGGGTGAAAGAGAAGTGGTTAAAAATGTGTTATGGGTGTTACCAGGTTCCAAGGGTAAAAGCAGATTTTTTTTTTAAGATTTTATTTATTTATTTGACACAGAGAGAGACAGCAAGAGAGGGAATACAAGCAGTGGGAGTGGGAGAGGGAGAAGCAGGCTCTCCGCTGAGCAGGGAGCCCGATGTGGGGCTCCATCCCAGGACCCTGGGATCATGACCTGAGCCAAAGTCAGATGCTTAACCAACTGAGCCACCCAGGCACCCCTAAACGCAGATTTTGATATAAGCTTCATACATTGACATGGAAGAATAGTAAGTATAAGTCTTATTTTTTTTTTTTTTTTAAGATTTTATTTATTTATTCATGAGAGACAGAGAGAGAGAGGCAGAGGGAGAAGCAGGCTCCCAAGGAGCAGGAAGCCCGATGCGGGACTCGATCCCAGGACCCTGAGATCATGACCTGAGCCGAAGGCAGACGCTTAACCATCTGAGCCACCCAGGCGCCCAGTAAGTATAAGTCTTATTAAGTTAGAGGTAGGCAATAGAAAAACGAAAACAGAATGCAGAACTTTCAAATCAGCAAAGAAAAATTTGTCTAGCCATCATGAAGCAAAGAGAGAAAAAAAGTGTATTATGGTAAAAATCCTTGTCCATATTAATAGAATTTTTATCTGGTCACACTTCCCCAGCCTTCCTGGCCACTAGATGTCATACAAGCTATTACAAACACACATAGTAAATATATATGTCCCGAGGCAATTTCTAGGAGACTCCTACTAACATTCATGAAAATTCTATCGGCCCATCCTTCCACTCCTCTGCTACTTAGAAGAGCCTAAATGTGTAGAATGAATGGCTGGATCTTGACCTTGGAATACAAGGTCAAAACTAGAGCAGAGGAATGGGGAGTTACTTAACGGGTATAGAGTTTAGTTTTGCAAGATGAAGAAGCCTAGAGATTGACTGCACAAGGTGAATGTACTTAATACCACTAAACTGTACACTTAAAACACAAAAATAAAAAAATACACTGTACACCTAAAAATGGCTAAGATGGTAAATTTTATGGTATGTTAAACTAAAATTAAGAGTCATTACTCTCTAAAAAAGTTTAAAAAAAAAAAAAGGATCAGAAAGGTTGGAAGAAACCTGGGCCCTGGGGACTTCTGGAGCAGAACCACACCAGCCCTGGACTACATGCTTCTAAGCACTAGCCTTAGAGGATTAAGAAAAAGAGTAAAATAAACTTCTTAAACTACTGCTATTTTGAGTTTTCTGTCACCCACAGCGAAACTTAATGCTAATACACCCAATAAACAAAAAACATGAAACAGGTGACAAAAAAGAATTTCACAACACACTAATCCAACATAAATCAAAAGAAGACAGGGTAGGAATTGTAATATCAAATAAAATCGAATTTGAGGAGAAAGTTTTGGATATAAGGGACAAAGAACATTATATACTAGTAAAATGAATGACAAGACAAGATGACATCATAATAATGGCATAATCATATAAATATATCAAAAACAGAGCTTCAAACATAACATGACAAGTGACTCATCAGCCATGAAGAAGCAAACATATCAACAATTTCACACACCCTTCTCAGAAACATAATAGGACAAACATACAAAAAATAAGCAAAGATACAGAAGATTTGGGTTAACATAATAAATGCTTCAATTGTTTAATTTCATACCTAGAGAGTGTATTTGTTTTAATCACAAGTGAATGGTCCGAAAATCAATCATGTACCAGACAAGATCACAAAAAAAGTCCCAATAATCCCAAAGAACTAATATCCTACCAATTCAATAAAATCAGTACACCAATTTTTTTTTTTTAAGAT